GTTTTGTCACACCCACCATATAGCCCTCACCTTGCGCCTTCGGATTACCATTTGTTTCGTTCCATGCAAAACTCTTTAAATGGTAAAATTTTTAACAACGCGGATGATGTCGGATCACACCTAATTCAGTTTTTTAATAGCAAAGACCAGACATTTTACGAACGGGGAATTTTTACTCTGCCAGAACGATGGAAAAAGGTCATCGACAAGAACGGCCAATATCTAATTGTATAAAGTTATATTTTTAAACAAAGAATTCCGAATTTGTCTTCTTATTTGAAATCGGCAATGACTTAGTTGCCAAACTAATAATTGGCTTTGCCCACCAAGTTATAAATAAATTATGCAAGAAGGATAAGGATCTTATAATAAGGGTAAAAGGAAGACCAATGAGAGTCAAACCGATTCAAGGATAAAATTTATTATTGATCATCACATGTAAATACAAAAGAATCGGTCCATCTGAGGATTCCTCCCCATTTTTCATCCAAAAGATGGTGATGAAGGATCAGAGACGGTCTGAAATACTGCTAGAGGAATGATTCTATGATTATACTGCAGGAGGAAGATAAATGCCCATGAAAATTTTCTAAGCAAACTCGCTCTACAACGACAAACAGGATAATTTAGTCACAGAGATGGTGAGATGTGAGCAAAATGTTATTGATATCGTCAATTAAGTGCTTCAAGATCTTCTCGCATGAAGGGTAGATTAGGGTAACATTAAGAGGGTGTCAAAGAGGTGTTTATCGTGAAAGAGGGCGATAGTTTGCTTTCGAATCCTATTCAAAAACACCCTGTCTCCTATTTTGGTGCATCAACCAGAGTTGAAGGGTCTGCTTGAAGGTGAAATTGCTAGCATCTAATCGCGGTTTCATGGTTTCTTTGCAAATGAGCCCACTACAAACTCAAGGTTGTAGTACCAGCAGGTAAGCGCTTTTTCAGTGGATGGATGACAACGAAATTAAAACAAATCTCGTTATCCAGTTTTGCCTAAAGGTAAACAAGAATGTAATATCAGTCGATCTGATACTGCCACGGCTACCAGATGGAGTTTACCCGTGAGCTAAAAACTGACTTGCGTTAAAAATTGTGAGTTGAGGAAGATCTGTTGATATTTTTACGCAGCATGCTAAGCAACGCGGCAAGTGTTCAATTACCCCTCCTCAAAATTGTATGGCCAGTTTGATATTTTGTATGATCTAATCTAATAATTAGGATTAGATCACTTAATTGGTTCACCACTAATAGTTGCCGAATATTTTATTTTGTAATCCTATTAATGACCACTGGAATTTTTCCATCTCTTTAAGATTAATTCTTCGGAAAAAAGGCAATTATCTCAGGAAGCTCAATGTACTTATACATTGATGAACAAAAATAGTCTTTGATGTTATTGCTTTTTGTTTGAATGAGAAGCTGACGGGTAATTTAGGCAATCTACATTGAACGTAAAAAAACAATTTATTTTCAAGTTATGAACCAGCACACTCCATATTCAGGAAACTGTAGCTGACTGATCCAGAGGCTTCAGCATTGAGGAGGAGGTTTACTACAGTTCGATCAAAGGCTCAGTGAGATGAAAGGGTAATACTTGAGAGACGGTAGCTGGTTAAGGAATAGGCGATGATCTGGGAAGTGGCGTGCAATGTAATCATGATCTAATTGTTCCTATAGAATCCAAGAATGGCCCTTAAGTAGTTATTAACAAAAGTGTATGTTTTTTTCTATTAAATTTTCAAAATGCCAATAAGTACTATATTACAAAATCTAAGCGAAAAAGCAATTTTCAAATTGACAAAACGTTAGTAGACTATTCCCATAATTTTTATTCAACATTGAAATACCCTTTGGGTCTCAAAAGTGACAGAAATATAAAACTCCAAAGACAACAGCGAGATGGTGAAGAAGAAGAAGAAGAAAAATAAATAATTTCAAAAAAATACGCCTTCCATTTTTTACCCCACCCTATCGGTTTTCTCCTCAAAAAACGATAAAGAGAGAAAAAAAGGCAAAGACAACGGCGACTTAAAAATTTGCAGAAAGACGGAAAATGCACCCATTTCTACTCTCGAGAAAGTGGTTTTGAAAGTGACGTCGGAATAATGACAACCAGACACCCAGGCTAACGACTCTTCCTCTCTCTCGCACGCGTGCGTGCGCACACCCTTCTCTTCTTCCCTGTCTCGCGCACTTTCTTTCTGCCTCTTCCGTGAATTTATCAAACAAGCGGCTGTCGCTCCAGGTTCTCAATGACAAGCCGACCGACTCTAACCCCGAGGAGGAGGAGGAGAAGGAGTAGGAGAAGCGTAGATGGAGGGCAAAAAGAAACGCTTGAAATTCCACCCTGGTGTGGTGAGGGTTGTTGTTTCATATACACCACAACGGAGTCTATTTCCATCAAGCTCATCTCATTGTCTGTGTGTGTGTGTGTGCGCGCGCGCGACAAGCAAAGTGAGAGGGAGGTGGTGGTGATTGGAAAATGCCAAACTTGGTTTATCGCGACATAAGCAGAGAATAGAGAGTAAAATGGGGGTTTGTTTTTTTGTTTTAAATTAGTTGAAAGAATAGGAGTGTTATTCAAATGCAGGGAGGGGGAGAGAGAGGCGGGAAGTTGGATATTCTTATTCACTTTGTCTACATTTTGTTCGACAATGCAACAATTCTAGTCAAATCTTTACGCGTATTTTCAAGTAAGAATTGTGTCCTTTCACCACCTTTTTACGCAATCTATTATCCAATTTACCCCATGAACGCGTTTGGTAAATATAACCCAACAAGAATTACCAAATATTTGGTAATTAGAAATAAACATTACGTAATTAATACACTATCATTCAAAATACTTTCCCTGCTTAGATTTTATAGTTGTGTTACTCGATCGCAGAATAGTGACTCTATTGACAAAGCTGATACGCATTCTGGACGTCGAAGTTGCCGAAGTGGCAGTTTCACTTGGCGCTTGAAAGATATAAAGAAGTACGCATGAAATTTCAAATCGTAAAACAGGAGTGATATGATTACGTAAGGAGATATGCAAGCACATTGTGCATGTGTGTGTGTGTGTGTGTGGAATGAAGTGGGGTGTGGGAGACGAAAAACTGTAATGTCGTTAGCCTGGGCTACGGTTCATCATCAACTGAATTGTCTTCCAGATTTGGCCCATGGACTATTGGATGATATGCAAATTGTTGAGCAGCTGATTTCTGCCGTGCGTCATACATATCAGGTGCGTTCTTAAATATCCTAATTAAAGGATGATATCATATTGACCTTAACCCTTCATGTGAAGAGCATGCCCTTTTAATAACGTAAAGTGCATTTCTAAAATAAATGCTTTCCTATTTCAGGGAACAACATTGTTGCATGGTCTTTTAAGTTACTAAAGTGCAATAATATCGAGACCATAGTTGTGTTCTAACTGAAATTGTTGTCGAGCATATTCGACCATAATGCCCGCCTAAATACGGTTTAGTAAATGAACGCAGATAATTAGATAAAAATTGCGTTTTTTGCCCAATTGCAAATTCAGATCCTTTAAGGTTTAGCTCATATATAGCAATACAAGTAGTGATTTCATTGCACCTCAGCGAAATCCTCGAATTTCTCGCTTCCTGCATTTTTTTGACAAAATTTGTCATCCACAAAACCCTTCGTGGACAAACGCGTTTCTCAAGTGCTCACATCTTTTTGGAAAAATAGTCAACCATTCTTGACTCCACGTTCTGGGAAAGATGGCAGAGTAGGATTCATGCCTGAAAAAAAACGACCCAATAGGGGAAAGCAGATTTGGTAAGATTTGAGAAATGAGGAATTTCGTTATTCACAAGGTGGAGGAGTGGAACGAGGCAGCGGTCTTTGGTCGACTGCATATTTTTTGCCTGAATACTCTCAACTCCCCATCTTCTCAGATGGCGGTCGATTTAAACAAAAAAGTCGGAGTTTTACTTGCTGCTCCGCCGTTGCTGATACGACGAAGCGATGTGACTAGAGAGATTAGTTCTGCATTTTTTTACCACCTCGTTCGGTATTCTCTTTTCGCCGCAACTTGCCTTGTGCTGTGGTGAAGTGAGTAGAAAGGCATGAGAACGTTGTGAAAAAATGCATGGCGGAGGAAGGAGGATAAGGAAAGAGAGAGAGGTTGAGAAATCAGGAGGGATTTGAGAGTTGGGAAGGAAAGACATGCAACTTACTTACTTTTCTTGATTGTATGCTTACTTGATAGAACAAATTCTCCCCCTAAACGGAAAAGTGGAATGCAGGAGAAATTGGCAAATATCACCATTTACAAACTCGTTTTGGACAGAGTCAGGCGTGAGATGCTTAGTTTAATTTAAAGCGAAACGAATTGTGTACGAATGGCTAGTCCAATTCCCTATTTCCTTTTCAGTGGCCATAAGTTTTGTTCATAAGTTACTAAGTGACCATTGTTAATAAAAAGATATTACAGTAAATAACACTTAGGAAAATCGTAACCATATAGAGAGAGCTGTGACACTTACTGCATTGAATTTGTTTAAAACCTCAACCTAGTTCAATGAATGGTAAAAATGACTCAGATTGTTGGAATATTTGGGGCAAAAAAATTATAAATGAGCAATGAAAAGGAAGAAGTCATCCAGTGAAAAGGGAAGTTAAATTTATTCATACTACTCAAAAGTATCACTCAAAATGCAAAACTGGAAAATAAAAGCAGGATAGTTCGTTGCAAAAAACATAAACACAGCCATCTTGACGATCGAATTTTCACCAGAAACAATTACTCCTTATGCAAAATGGTGAAGCAAAAGTATATATCGGTTCGGTGACGACAAAGACGATAACTCTCAGATGATTTATTTATTTATTTCAAATGGCAGGCGTTTTGATAGTTACCATTAGCCATTTTGCTGACTTCAGGCTTCACAGAGAGGAGAAGAAACATCAAAGTGAAAAAAATTCGAGAGGGGGAAGGACTGAAGAATGTTTCAAAGACGAAATAGGAAACAGTAGCAAAAGGTGAGTTGAGTACTGTGAAAGTGGCCGACTATGACATACAGTGGGGTCATGGTAGTTTGAAGTGAGAAGTCAGCTGCCGGTTAATAGACTTTTTTGCCGTATGAGTATACGTTGCCCAGGGTGTGCCACGTGGAGGTAAGTCTATCGCACACCCCACTCTCAGATGATAAAAGTGTGTCTAAACTGACTTCTATTCTTAGATATCGGGAATTGTTTGGCCTATGTTTATTTTAGTCCGTCTCAAATAAACAGCTTCTGTGCACTTTAACGTATCTTTTTATGTCTCATTCTACGTGAGGTTGCTGATTAATTGGCGTTAGTTAAAATTGTTCTAACCAATTCTTAAAACAACAAACCCATTGCTTTGTTTAACATATTTTTTTAACTTGATTCTCGCAGTAAATATAATGTTCAAAAGTAATTAATTAATTACTTAATTAATTAATTACTTAATTAAAACAACTTTATTACTTATTCGAAAAGATGACAGGATAATCTTTCCAACTTACTTTTGCAAAAGTGAATTCCGGAAGTCAAATCAAAATATCAAAATAAAATTTTGCAAATATTTTGAGCACAACAAATTAAAAGCTAGGAACGATTGTTTAAATGGGCAAATCGCCGCACTTTTACAAGTACATCCGATAGTTCACAGGGCATGACTAAAAGTTAATTATTTTCAAGTCAACTTAAACTGCCAGACACTGCCGAATATTTTTTTTAAATTTCAGCATAATAAATATCAAATTACTCAAGCATTAGTTTAATTTCGAAACCGTTTTAACTGCCTGATGTTGTCCTATTACCAAATGCTTTTCTTAAGAATAAATTAAATAGTTAACAAATGATACGGAGCTGATTACGAGGATTGTGGAAGTTAATGTGAGCGAAAGATAAACTGGGAAATTTTGATCTTGTGAATATTGGAATCTGAAAAATGAAGAGATTTAGGTTTGGTCCGCATTAAAAGTATTTGGTTGTCAAGGCCATATTTCAACTAATTTTAGGTTATAGGATCCCACTACTTACAAAGCAATTCAAATTAGTTTCAGTGTCTCGCTCTCGAAAAAAATTTAACTATTGAGTGAGACGTTACAAAGTTGAGATTTGTGTTTTGGTGGAAAATGGGTTTTCGGTTTCTCGTGGAGGTAGATAGGTTGTTTTTTAATTTATCACAACTAGACAATGGGACTGTTATGGAAACATACAGATTTTCTAGTGTGTTTCGTCAAAATGATATGACTTGAGAAGCCGTAAGGCCATGTTCTTCTACAAGTAAGATATTGAAAAATATGGTGATCGTTACTAATAATGCAATAACAATATAACTATGATTTAAGAATGGTAAAATTTACGTCTCTTGGTTAGTATAACATTTAGAAGCTCTTCACTCTCATTCAAAGGTTAACTGAAATTGTGAAAACGTAAATTAATTTAACTGCTCTCAGATAAAATATCGCTTTGGAATTCCATGCACGAAGGTCTTGATAAGTAGTTTTTCGAATTGAATTACTAATTTACTACCCCATGATGATGATAAATTAGGAGCGAAAAATTTTTACTTGATGGAGGGCAGGTGATAACCCACTGATAAAATGATTTGTCGATGAACACCTCTTCCAAGCGCATCAAAGTTGACCCTTCCCAAGTACTTGAATCGATTGCGATGGAATTTGACATTTCACACGGAGATATCACAGTGCAAGAGCGATGGTTTTGGCGATAATGGTGTGTGAACCGCTTTTTCGCGGGGTGCAAATGTTATATATTTCCCGTAGATACGAATTTTCAGATTAAAGTCGTTAAAAACTAGTCTACTTATACTTTTTAATCAAAATATTACTTCTTTTTCATCTAAGAGTAGTGTATTATCATTATTACTACTTAGAGTTAGTTTTCTCCAATGCCAAGGAAAACTAACTATGACATCTGAAGATTAGAAACTTTAAAGTAGTCTAAAATGGATTAGGGTAAGTGAGTTGAGTGGATATCTGTAAAGAAAAAAAGTTTTTTTTTCTTGGACTCAACTTTTGAGCCGTTTTGCTTCGATGGTTTAGTTGAAATGAATAAAGTTAGCTCAAACCGATCGAACTATTACAACTATTTAATCGATAAACGAGGCTTTAGTATTTGTTAAATAAAATGTTTCACAGAGGTTTCGAGTCAAATGAGGTTTGTACGGATCACTATTAGGATAAAGAGAAGTGGTCTTGGAGCCAGTCTAAATAGACACCCACATATGTTCGCCAGAATTCATCTAAGGGACGGCGTTCCATACAACTAAATGTACCCCAACGAGCTTATGAAGCGATTGTTATCATCAGTCATGGGTGATAGGACTTTCAGTTGTAAGAGAGGGGGGCACTATCTTGACGATCATTGCTAAAGATGTTTCAAAAGGAGTGTACGATAGACCTACCTCCACGTGGTGCACCCTGGGCAACGTATATTCATACGGCAAAAAGTCTATAAACTGGCAGTTGACTTCTCACTTCAAACTACCATCACCTCACTCTATGCCATATTCGTCTATTTCCATAGTATTCATCTCACCTTTTTCTCTACCATTGTGTCTGCCTCTTTTACATCTTTGAAAC